AGTGGCCGCGGCTGCGCATCCGCGCCCCGCCCCGCAGGAGCAGGTGTCCCTGGGGGCGGGGGCGAGTGTGGGAGCCCCGAGGCGGATGGAGGGAGGGGAGTGTCCAGGAAAGGGGCGCGCGCACGCTGGTAGGAGAATAGGTGTGTGAACGCCTTAGGGTGGAAGGTGAGTGGGTGCCCAAAGACGCAGGTGCACCGGAAAAGGGAGAGGCTTGTGCAAAATGGGAGTGTGCACAGAAAAAGCTATGCAAGGGGCTACGGTGTGAGGGAGGTGAGCAAGAGGTAGACTCGAGCAATAAACACTTTTACACAAAGGACTGAAAAGTGTGCATGGTGTGGGACTGTGGGAGAGGTGAGGGTGTAAGGGATGGAATCACATCGCATGAGAAACGAAATGTGTGACTGTAATGTGTGAGGAAGGTGAGTGAGGGAGGGAGACGGGAGTGCTAAAGGGATGAGAGGAGGGTGTCTTTTCTGCCCGTCTCCTACCCTCACCACAACTACACAGAAGTAAATACCCCCAGGCGCGCGCGCGCGCGCACACACACACACACACACACACACACACACTGAGCTCTACCCCTTTGCTGTTTCTGCTTTACACTTAAAACCTTCCTCTCCTCTTTTACAACACGGAGGGAAAAGGGATTCCAGGGGAGCCCATTGGGTCAAACACACTGGGAAAAAAATTAATTAGTAAAAGAGTAATTAACCGAAGGCAGGGTATGGAACCAGGGACAGACTGCCAAACTAGGGCTCCTCAAGAGAAAGTGATTAAGGAGAGTAATGCTCTTATGAAGCATTTAAATGCATTGGATGGATGGATGGATGGATGGATGGATCAGAGAAAGAGGCAGGAACCTAGGCCAACATAGAGGATGACTTTTTAAAATTGAATTTATTGGGGTGACATTGGTTCAAAAAACCATACAGGTTTCAAGTGTATAACTCAACAAAACATCATCTGCACACTGCATCATGCATCATGCGCCCATCACCCAAAGCAAAGTCTCTTCAGTCCCCATTTATCCTTCACCACCTCCACTTACCCCCACCCCCCTTTCCTTCTGGCTATCACCACTCTGTTGTCTATGTGTTTTATATATATGCATATATATGTATATACACAGACACACATATATATGGTGTTGGATTTTGTGGGAATTTTTTGCCTAATCCCTTCACCTTCTTAGAGGATGACTTCTGAAGACAGTGAGCTGAGGTGGACTTATGTGGAAGGTGAGGCTGAGATGGACTCTGCTGGTGTAGAAAGTTTGACATACTCAGAGACACTTACCTTTCCAGAAGTTTTGCAAACCAATCAGTTCTAACAAGATAGCCAATGAAACATTCACCTCACAAGCCCAATAGCCAGTTCAGACCTTAAGGTTTTTCTTTTTTTAAAAAATTTATTGATTGATGAGAGACACAGAGAGAGACATTGATTTTTTTTGTTCCACTTATTTATACATTTATTGGTTGATTCTTGTATGTGCCCTGACCAGGGATCGAACCTGCAACCTTGGTGTATTGGGACAATGCTCTAACCAACTGAACTACCCTGCCAGGGCTTGAGGTTTTTCTTACTATCAGAATACAGAGGGAGAATCTCTACTGGCATGTCTTCCGTTTTGCCCGGGAGCATGCTTTATGTTCATCTAAAGCTTGAATTCTTACATCCTTAGCCAGATGATTAAAGAGAACAGAACTGCCCTAGCCGGTGTGGCTAAGCGGTTAGGGCGTCAGTGGAGCACTGAAGGATCTCAGTTCTGGTCAATGGCATGTACCCGGGTTGCAGGTTCCTCCCCACCCCCTGGTTGGGGTGTGTGAGAGAGACAACCAATTGATGTGTCTTTCATCAATTTGGTGTTTCTCTCTCTCTCTCTCTCTCTCTCTCCTTCCTTCCCTCTTCGGTCCCTCCCTCCCTTCCACTCTCTGAAAAGCAATGGAAAAAATATCCTCTGGTGAGGATTAGCCAAAAAAAAAAGGAGAGAGAATAGAAGTTAGGATGGAAGGAGTGACAAATAGAGTAATAAAATGGTTTCAGATTTTTTAATGACTAGTTTATTGATATTTAGAGAGAGAAGAGAGAAACATCTGTGTAAGAGCATAACATTGAGGCACGCCCCCTACTGGGGATCAAGCACAAAATCAAGGCATGTGCCCTGACCAGGAATCCAATGGGCAAACTTTCAGTGCACCAGAGGACGCCACACTGGCCAGGGCTGGTTTCAGATTTTAGACAGGTTGTCACAAATCAGGCACTGATTCCTCCCTTCCCTTACTTGCATCCCCCCAAAGGGTTGGGAGGTAAGTAAAGAAGTTGGAGCCAGTAAGACAAGGGAAGACAGAGAGAAACCTGCCCATCATCTACTTCTGTGTGTCTATGAGCAGAGGCCATTTGGGAAAGGTTTGTGTTCAGGGCAGGTGCAAGGGCTAAGAAAACTAGCACTGGAGTAAAAGAAGCATAGTAACGCCAAATAATGAGTCACAAGGTTTGCAGAAGGGCACAAGTCATTCTCATGTAATGTGATGGTTTGGGGTAGTGGCTGTGGTAACTTCCTGCACATGCTCATCCCTACAATAACCCATCTATTATGACATACGTATCATACAAATACACACATATATCATAACATCTTGGTGCTGAAAAGAACGTTAAAGGTCAAGTATTCCTATCTCCCAATCATTGAAAACTTCTCTGCCAGAAGGCATGTGGTGGTCTCTGCGTTAAGACTCCTAGGGAGGGGTGGAAATTGGGAAGAGAGGAGGGCATTACCTTGCCCCTCTTCCTGTTGGACGACTGTATTTTTCTGCCTTCCATCAATCCTTTAATCCTAGTTTTGCCCTCACATGGGCATCATCTACTCCCTGTTTTATATGCACACTGCTGGCTACGTCTTTACAGATAGCCTTATCACATCTTCAAAGGGCTAGTGACTGAGACTCCAAAAAACAGACCCAAAACAACCCCACATACACACGGGAAGCAAGCACTTAGTAAAAATTTATTGAATGAATGAGTGAATGAAACAAAGGAACAAATGAGAATACGTTCTCCGATGGCAGTGGAGCAGAAAGGCTACAGCACCACCTCTTGTTCCCCGCCCCCCAATATCGAGTGAGAGACTAGGAGCGGGACTGGAGAAGGTCTGCAGCCAGGAGTTGGGATCTGGGTGGCCCAGGTTGCCATGGCACCGCCTCGGACTCCACCCTCTCTCGTCTTTACCCCACCCCGCCTGGGTAGCGGCAGGTAGTCACGTGTTCTGTGGGGTAACCACACCTCTGCTCCTAAAAGCCATATCCAGAGGTCACGTGGGATAGCAACAGGTCACGTGGCTGCCGTCATCCCT